GCTAGCTCAGGATAAATATAGAAGTATCTCTGATAGCAAAGAAGATAAATTCTAAAACGTTTTGTTAAAAACTATGTTGCTTCAGTAAGAGTAAGAAAGTTTGTTATGTCTTTATCTCTGTGCTTTCTGTGTATGTGGTTATGATATAGAAATCATTAAGTATTAGGTAAATAATGTTCAACATTGCAGAAAAGAGAAAGTGTGTACCTGGAAGTCTTGAGGCAGAGGGAAATACATATTATGTATTTTAATCAAAGTGTGATCAGTCTGCCAACAAGTATCAATTATTTATATCAAGTCTGCCTCTGAGGGAAAGAAAGTAAAGTAGGAAGTCACTGTTTGCCTGAATTTGAGAGATGAGTTGGAGGTGAGAAAAGTTACAGAAATTAAAGGCAGAAGATTCAGAAGAAAAAACTTGAGGTTTTACAGTTTTGCCAAGAGTTGGCCCTATTTATTCGACAGCAGCAGACTTGAAATGGGAGTGATTACTGTTGACTTATTGCTGTTGAATTGGGGGATTCAGAGAAAGCTTGGAAGCTTGGAGAATTATCATTTGAACTGATCCTTGAAGTATGAGAAGCATTTCAGCAGACACATGCATGCGAGTGTGTGTGTGGGGGGGGGGGCATGTGGTATAGTGTGAGAAACATGGTGTAATAGAAAGCAGTGGTATATTTAAACACTTCAAATAACTTAGTTTGGCTTTAGCACCTGATAGGTTGGGGTTGCTAGCAAGAAAATGAAAAAATAGATCAGTGGGACATAGGGATTCAAGGATTAAATCCAAATACATCTGTAAGTTTAGGTTATAATCAAAGTTGGTGAGATTAAACAATGGGGAAAAGAATTATCATATAATAAATGCTCTCAGCAAAATTGGATTTTAGCACAGAGGAAAATAAATGTGGACCCTGTAAAATTTTTGTACCTTATATAACAGTAAACTGCATATAGGTTAATTAGTTTCAAATTTTTTTGAAATGAGCTATGAGGAAAGGTCCAGACCTATCAAACTCAGAAATAGGGGTCACTAATCTACACATAAGGATCCCTGCCAGCTCTGCATATTAGTTTTAAAATGTAATTTTATTGCATTGTATTTTATTGTATTTTTATTTTGTTAAATATTTCCCAAGTACATTTTAATCTGGTTCAGACTATTGCAAGGCCCATGTACTTAAGTATTTGACACCTCTGGTGTAGGGAACTCTGGTGAGGAAAGGCCTTTTACCAATGCAATTCAGCAGCTGGTCAGTTTTAGTGTTAGGGAATTGCCTAATGAATGGGAGGTTTTAAATAGTTTTGAAAACCATAAAATATATAATAAAGTGAAATAGCATATTTGTCACAGATATGCAGGGGACATCCTGCCTATGAAAGTACAGCCAAAACCTGCCTGCTGTTACTAGTTCTCAGGAAACATGACATTAAGTGAAAGGAATATGAGGGCAAACAGTTCCACTGTTCTTATGAGTAATAATAGTAGTAATATCGACATTGAGAAACTAGTGGTTGGTTTATGTCATTTCATCCCTGTAATAGAAGAAATGATGTGGAACACAGTTTGTCATTTTGTAATAAAAATTTTTAATTGCACAGTGAATAGCAGTAAAACTAAAATAAAAAGAAACCATGAGGAAACTGTTGATACTCATTATGAAAGATTTCAAGATTTACAAGGGATAAATATCAAATTTATATGGATAGTATTAGTATCCATTGGCCAGAACATTTGGGAAAAGGTTCAACTTCACTAATAAATAAAAATTATAATGGAGGTAACTCACACCAATTAAATTATCAAATATAAATAAAAATAAGACAACTTTGCAACTCTGGGAAAAACAGGTACATTTATACCTTGCTGAGGGCAATACGTTTTGGTGCCATTTTTCAGTAGTTCAATATGACAGTGTACTCAAGGGTTGGTTGATATTAAACCCCACGATGCCAAGTATGACCTATTGAAATAAAGGGGGGGGGGGCAGCTAGGTGGCACAGTGGATAGAGCACTGGCCCTGAAGTCAGGAGGACCTGAGTGCAAATATGACCTCAGACCAAACACTTGACAGTTACTAGCTGTGTGACCCTGGGCGAGTCACTTAACCCCAATAGCCTTAAAAAAATAAAGAAATAAAGAGGGGGAAAAAAGGTTTCTCTGTTCAAAGAGCTTTAAGGCTGTGCCATATTTCAAAATTGGCAATAACCCAAATGCCTAATAGCTAGGGAATGACTAAGAAACATGTGGTTTGTTGATATAAATATAATGCTAATTTTATTATAAAGATTGACAGATATGAAGACTACTAAGAATATTTAAAAGCTTATGTAAAATAGTGCAGAGTGGAAAAAATAGTACTCAGTACTTTGTAGCTATTCAGTGTATAGAAAGCATTGTGTAAAAAAAAAATTATAAATTGCTGTTTATTTCTACTAATTTATTTTTTTTAATTGTAGTAGTACCATGAACAAAAAAATGATAAGAGTTAGAGAAAGTGAATGGGCTTGTTGATTATCTCAGGCTGAAGGAAACAGAAGAGAGGGTCAGCTGATGAACCAATAAAGATTAGAGGAGATGTGTGGTGGTCGCCAAGTGCTTCTGGAATAGGCACAGAGATATAAATTGAAACTAAAAGCCTCAAGAATTATCAGAAAGCTGGATGGCAATACAGTAAGCTATGTGCCCCATAAGGGAGTAAAAAGGAAAACTGAACTTTCCACAAACCTATTTGTCTTCCTCCATTCCCACTCTCTTGTAATTTTTCTAGCACAACTATAAGTAACCTGTAGACATGTTGAAGTCTTACCCTCTTACTTTCTATACCTCTTTCCTTTTGGTATTCGTTGCTAGTGCCATCCATTAATCTAGAAGGGGACTTAAGAGGTCATTTAGCTCAGTCTTCTTATTTTACAGATGAGGAAAACTGAGGCCATGAGAAGTTATGGGACTTGCCTGTGATCATTTGGTGGCAAGCTGGGATTTGAACAGGTTCTTGATAAAACCAGTGCTCTTTACATTGTGCCAAGCTATCTTAACACTACCCTTCCTCTTTGTGAATTATTCAAGACAGTAGAAAAGCAGTCTGGATAAAGTTATTTATACTGGTGTGACTATAGATTTATTAATTCCAGAGGGTATTTACATTTTAAAAAAAGAGTTTGTTATTCCATGTGCATCTTTAATTGTAGAATGTTCCTGGGCCTTTTTGAAAGGTTTCTCTTAAAATTGCCCCCATCCTGGAACATGAAGAACTGCAGTTTGGCCCCAAATCTGAAAGCTCTCCTGTGCCTGATGGTATCTTTGTCCCAGACACAGAGATTCTATCATACTTCTGTGACCTTGGACAAGTCACTTTCCTGCTCTGGGCCTCACTTTCCTCTTTGTTGTCCCTTCTGCTTTTTTGTCTTTTTACTTTGATTATCTTAAGAGAGACCTTGAGAGTGTCCTTGTATCGATTCTTCTGACCACCATGTGAACACTTGCTTTGTGTAAGTTCTCCATAAAATAGTCTCTTTGGCAAGCGTATGTTTTGCATTCGAACAGCGTGGCCAACCCATCATAATTGCGCTCTCTGAAGCAGAGTTTGAATGCTTGACAGTTTAGTTTTAAGGAAGGACCTCAGTGGCTGGTTTATTATCCTGCCAGGTGATCTTCAGAATCTTCCTAAGACCATTCAAATGGAAGCGATTCAGTTTCCTAGCATGGCGCTGGTATTCTGTCCAGGATTCATAGGCATACAACATTGAGGTCAGCCCAGCAGCTCTGTAGACTTTCAGTTTGGTAGTACATCTAATACCTTTTCTTTCCTATACTTTCCTTTGGAGCTTCCCAAACACTGAGCTAGCTCTGTGTGTCAACATCATTATCAATGTGTACATCCCTGAAAAGTACACTACCAAGGTAAGTAAACTTAGCCAGTTGTGTGACATGGGAGACTCTGGCACAGGACCACTCATATCAGAGAAGATGCTGTACTCTATGAGCAAAGAAAATTGAAGCAGCTCAAAGGAAATGCAGGATGCACAAATTTAGAGAATCCACCCCAAATATTCACACAGATTATTTGTGCCCAACCTGTGGTAGAGCATTCCGAGCTTGTATTGGTTTGATCAGCCATAGTTGGACACACTGAAACTTGACTCTAGCACAGTGATGTCATCTTGGTCCTCTTCGAGAACAAAGGACAGCAATCAACCAACCAACTTTGATTATGCTTCTCTGAGACCACTCTGCCACTTCGTATTTCATTGGTATTCAGTATCAGTATAAGAATATTAATTAGCTGGCTTTCTATGAATCCTTGAGTAATAGCATTAATACTTTTATTTCCATTTACATTTTGGGTTATCACCCATTCTCTAAGTTTGAAGAGCATTTATAATCAGTATTTAACATTGTATTCTAATAAATAGCTTTACTTAAACATTACCCACAAAAACTATATGTAACTATTGCTATAGATACTCATTAAATTCCCTTTTTGTAGGCTAAATTTCCATTCGTAATGAGCTTGCTTTCATTTTTCTCAATAAAAGCAGACATATAATGTTATAAAAATGAAGAAAAGTGAAGCATGGTGGCTTTTGCCTATAATCTCAGAGTTCTGGGAGTCTTTTAAACTCAGGAGTTCTGAGCTGCAGTGGACTAAAACCGACTGTTATCTGCACTAAGTCTGGCACCAATATGGGTGATCTCCTGGGAAAAGGGGCCCATTAGACTGTGGCTGCCTAAGGAGAAGCAAGCTGGTGTAGGTGAGAAAAACTGAGTTGATCAATTGTTCCTGTGCTGATCATTACTGGGCTAAGCCTGTAGATGGCAATTTCAATTCTAGCCTGGGTGAGATAGGAAGCTGTAGTCTCTAGAAAAAAGAAAAGACCTTTCCTTTAGGATAAAAGAGGGTGTAGAATTTCTGTTGTTGAATATTTTTTAAGTATCATGTTTTTGGTTTGGCTATGTTTGTAATAATTTGTTTAAAATTTTTTTTCCTGTTTGTGTTTAGAATTGAAGATTGTGTCTCCTGGCCTCTAGTCTAGCAGTTTCTCTGTTCTGTGATCAATGTGACTCCCTTGAACACTTCATTAGTTAACGAGATGAGCCAGGATCGTGGAAAATATGACTTTTATATTGGTCTGGGATTGGCTATGAGCTCCAGCATATTCATTGGAGGAAGCTTCATTTTAAAAAAGAAGGGTCTCTTAAGGCTAGCCAGAAAAGGCTCCATGAGAGCAGGTAGGTTATGTGTGTCTTTTATGCTTTCTATAAAGATTCATTTTCAGTAAAATTATCTTGTAGGTTCGTAGGCTATTTAGTTTACTCCCCTCCCTTCCCTCGGTTTGGAATAGAGTTCTGTATTGCTAACAGAATAAGAGGAATCAGCTTTGTAATGAAACAGATGCCCCCTCCCCCGAAAATGCATTGTCCTCAAGGACAAAAATGTTATCCCTTCCTGCAGCTGCTTGCTTGGTTTCTGCACTTTCCCTTCTCTATAAATTGTGATGTTCCTAAGTACGCAAGACCAAGAGAAGAGTATAAGGAAGGAATTTGTGTCTTTATTAAAATGGCTTTGCTAATCCTCCTAGTAGCGTGATAGGCAGACACAAAACTTTCATTGATATCTGCCTTATTCATTCATGTACCTTTTTTTTTTTTTAAAGCATTGCATAGTTGTTATAGTCATTGTGATATATCAGGGGATTAAGTCAGAAATTTTCATTTCTAAGACACTTGATAACATACTGTTTGTAGGCAGGTGGGAGGGTAGGTAGATGTAGCCAAGTAACATGGTAAGGAGTTATCCAGACTACTCCAGGAATTTGTGTTTGACTCTGTGCTAGTTTTTTACATCAGTGGCTTGAATAAAGGCATAGATGGTTTGTTTATCAAATTTGCAGATGATCTGGGGGGGATAGTCAGAATCCAAAAAATATTGATAGCTGTTAAACGGTTGAGCCTAATAAGATGAAATGCATTAGGGAAAAATGGAAAGTCTTATACTTGAATATAAAATTTTCAGTTTTTCAGGAGGAGCAGGGCAGGGAAAAAGATCTGGGGGGTATTAGTGGACTGCAAGATCAATGAGTCAGCAATATAATATGTGGCCAAAAGAGCGAATGCAAATTTGACTTCATTAAAAGAGTCATAGTTCAAGAATAAGGAATTGATAGCTCTCCTGAACTCTGCCCTCTCTGGAATATTGTATTTCGTTTTGGACGCTACTGTGTAGGAATGACATTGATAAATTGGAGAGCATGCAGTGGAGGGCACCCAGGATGGTGATGGGCTTGAGAATTGGTAGAAGTTGCGGGGGCCAGTTTAGGTTTAATTTCAGGAAAAACTTCCAAATAAGTAGAATTGTCCAGAAGTGGAATAGGCTGCCTCAAGAGGTGCTGGGTTCTACCTCCTTGGAGGCCTTCAAATAGAGATTGGTATGGGGAATCCTTTTGGGTAAGTGTTGATTGGATTAGATGGTCAGTGATTTTTCCTTCCAGTTTTCAAATTCTGTTATTCTGTCAAATTTCCTTACAGATTCGGGTTGTATAAAACTTGACCTATAATCACATTCTCTTAAGTGGTAGCGAAGGTGAGATCTTGTGGAAAAATAGGAGAAAAGAACAAAACTGCCAAAGATGAAGAGAATTGTGATGATAAAAGTGAATAAAAGATTTTTATTTGAATTGAGAGAAGTCTTTTAAAAAGCTTTCATGATGAATACATGTAATATAGACTTTTCCAGTGAATATTTTTATTTCCCTTTTCTGAGAAATGTCATTTTAGAGGCATACTTTAATCCAATATGATAAACATTACTATACACCCTCATTATTCTTTTTTAATATTTCACTCTTATACATATATTTGCCCTATAAATTTGACGATTTTTTTGCATGTTTGTGAAAGAATATTTTGAGGATATGATTCTCCTTAATTATTTAACTTTCCCACGTATTCCCCTTATATTTTTACATATCCTTATTGATTGTGGTTAGAATGTTTAGAGTCTGATGATCTTCCAAAGTTCTAAAAAATACTTTTTCTTCATTTCCAGGTCAAGGTGGCCATGCATATCTTAAAGAGTGGTTATGGTGGGCTGGACTTCTTTCAAGTATGTATTAAATAAAATGACCAGGAAATACTACATTTCTGTATTCAAATGTTAGCACAAATGTGAAAGCAGTTTTATGTAATAAAAAAATTTAATCTATCCTATTTTATTCCAGAATTAAAAGTTTCGAGATAACTGTTAGATTGTTAAATATATATTTTAAAATATTTTATTTTGCCCATCTGTACCAAGCAAATTATTGTTGTTAACATCATTCTCCTCCCTCAGTATGACAGCTGTTATTTGAGAATAATTCCTTTGAAAACTTGATAGCTAGCGTTGTCATTTGTTGTTAAAATATTAGCAGCAGCAGCATTGTTTGGCTCAGAAAAATATACTGCCATTTATTTTTAAGTGGTGGTATATTTTTCTGAACCATCCGGTGCTTATTATTTATTATATTCTGAAAACAAAAAATAATTTGAATTTCATTAGGACATTTTAAAGAAGAAATTAAAAAATAAATCTTTTCTCCTGTGATTCTTTATCACAAATTGAAGTTGATAATAGTTTTCAGGCCTGTTTTTAATTATTTTTAAGGGGCCTTCAAAGAATGGTGATTCTGAATGCTGAAGACACTTGGCACTTAAATTGTTAGCATTCTGTAATTTTTATTGCCCCAAGTTGGAACCGAAAGAAACCTTGAAATACATTTTATTAATGCCTTCTGTCTTTGCAGCAATCACTGGGGGGAAGGGTGTAGGAGGGACTTCAAAACAGACTCTCCTTCCTTCAGATTATACTTTTCCTTGTAAATCCTTCCACTTTACCCCTCCCCCCCCCAAATTCAAATATAATAAAAACACCCAATACAGAGACAATAAATGATGATATAAAACATTAAAATGTGAAAACTAGTTGCTTTATTTAAGCTTCTTCATTTAAAAAAAAAATCCAGTTGAGTATATTACACTATGCCACAGAGATGTCAGACTTACCGGCCTGAAACTTCTGTGAATTATTTAACAAAATAAGTAAAAATACAACAGAGATAATGTTAATTTGTAGTTTTTTAAAGTAAATATATGGTCTGTTTTATCCAGTTGTATTTTAGTTTGAAACCACTATTATATGTTTTGCCCTCTGGTTATGACTAGTAAGATTGTCTTTCATCTCATCTTCTATGTTTAAGAAAAAGTTTATTGTGCCTTAGCTGATTTGCACTATTTGTATTTGTTTCACTGTGGGACCTCTATAATTGAAGTATCTTACTATTACTTTTTGCACCCTAAGTTTCGGCATTAACTTTACATGCTCTCTGTATTATTTCAATTAAGCCCTTTGGTTTTATATAGCTTTTTCTAGTAGTTTGGTGTATTATCCCAGAAAGTTTTCTTTAACAAGGTAATAAGAACTCCCAAAAATTAAATCAGGAAGATATTCAGAATATCTAAGCAGATAAAATAATCCATACATAATATTGCATAAAGCTTAAGAGGTAACTTGTATTAATGCCACATATTAATATAGGATTTCAAAAAAATTCACAATTTTGATCTATAACAGTGAAATTGACACTTAACTTTTTTTTTTTTTAAATTCAACCCACAGTGGGAGCTGGTGAGGTGGCCAACTTTGCTGCTTATGCATTTGCACCAGCCACGTTAGTGACTCCATTAGGAGCTCTTAGTGTTCTTGTGAGGTAAGGAAAATTTTTTTACTTGGTAAGAACAGAAATTTCTTTTTTTTTCTCTTTTCATTTTTTATTAATTTATTTTGATTTATCAATAATCGCTTCCATGTATTTTCGAGTTCAAAATTTTTCTGCTCCTTCCTCCCCACCCTCCCCAAGATGGTGCACAATCTGATATGGGCTATACAAATACATTCCTATTAAACATTTTCACATTAGTGATGTTGTAAGTAAAAGTTAGAACTAATAGGAGGAACTACCAGAAAGAGGAAACAAAGCTCAACAGAAGAAGAAAAAAAAATAGCAAATAGTATGCTTCGATCTGCATTCAAACTCCATAGTTCTTTCTTTGGATGTGGATAGCATTTTCCATCACCAGGCCTTTGGAGATGCCTTAGATCCTTGTATTGCTGGGAAGGGTTAAGTTTATTAATATTAGTCATCGCACAACGTGGCTGTTACTGTGTACAAAGTTCTCTTGGTTCTGCTCACTTCACTCAGCATCAAACCATACAAGTCTTTCCAGGTTTTTCTGAAGTCAGCCTAAGAACAGAAATTTCACATGTAAAATTTGTAGTAGTATTTTCAGGCTCAATTTTATTGTTATCTGGTTTTGTTTATGAATCTTCTATTTGTTAAGTAACAAGTGGGCTTTGGTTGTTACTCTTAAATCACTAATGTTAAGTTAAAAGTCTAGGGGCAGCTAGATGGTGCAGTGGATAGAACACTGGCCCTGGAGTCAGGAGGACCTGAGTTCAAATCCCACCTCAGACACATAATACTTACTAGCTGTGTGACCCTGGGCAAGTCACTTAACCCCAATTGCCTTTTAAAAAAAAAAAAGGTTAAAAGTCTTAGTATGAGCAGAAAGCATTATAAGGGCCCAGTGGAAATCAGCACTTGGTGATTTATAGATTCTATAATCACAAAATTATAAGACTTGTACCAGATTATTCATTTAATTCAGTTCAACAAACATTTTTACTTTTCACAAAGTTAAATAATTCTCTGGAAATATTCTTGACAAGTAGCATTTTGTTTGGAATGAGATCCAAAATTATGGTGTGGTCATTCATTATTTTTTATTAGTTCTCAGCCTTTTCTCCCCCGCTGTTTGAATGGGTATTTGTTTCACATATGCTATAAAGCTAGAAAGAGAAAAGATAAACTAATCATTTTTAATGTCTGGGATTTTTTTTTCTTTATAGTGCCATTCTTTCATCATACTTTCTAAATGAAAGACTTAATCTTCATGGAAAAATTGGATGTTTATTAAGTATTTTAGGGTCTACTGTTATGGTAATTCATGCTCCAAAAGAGGAGGAGATAGAGACCTTAAATGAGATGTCCAATAAGCTGGGTGATCCAGGTAAGAAAGAGATCATGTAAAGTCTCCTTTTGGCATTATTTTTCAAGTTATTCATTTCAGATTTGGGCTTTAACTTTTGGGCAAATTCCGTGCGATTTCTCCTGTTGCTACTTGCTATGACAGTTGCCTCCAGTGCTCCTAGATATCTCAGAAATAGTGTCCTTTGAGCACAAAATTAACTAATTTATATTTTTATGTCATTTTTGTGAAGCTGTTTATATTTAACATTTATGTATTTAATTGCTCCCTCTTTGCTATTTTCTTTTTTTATTGTTGTATTGGTATATATTCTATTACTATGGAGAATGTGTTAGAATAGAGGGGGCTTTCCCAGGCCCAGAAGTAGATCATGTTAGAAGAATGGAATATACAAAGAACTTGAGCTTTGTAACTATTTCTTGTAGGCAAACAAAGTAATCCCTTTACACAAATTGCTCTTTATAAGACTGGATTAGCAGCACAACTGTAACGTAGAATGAGATACACTTTTTTTTTTTTGCTTTCAACAAAAATGTAATAATTTTTCCCCATTGTAGTTAAGTTGAAAGCAGATGTAGAAATTTACTCTTCACTTGAGAGTAATTGGCATTGTGTAGTGGGAAGACTGGCCAGAGAACAGGAGACCCGAGTTCTGGCCTAGCTCTGTTGCGTAATAACTTTGTGACCTGGGGCCAGTCACTTTATCTTGGAGACCTTCAATTTCCTCCTCTGTAAAATAAGCTGAATTACAGTTCTGTAGTCTGAAATTGTTATGCCCCCTTTTTTCCTAGGCTATGTTGCAAAATGCCAGAGGTTTCTCTTAGCACTTAACATTTTTAACTGAATATTACCCTTCTTCTCTCTTTCAGGTTTTGTGGTCTTTGCAACATTGATTGTCATTGTGTCCTTGATATTAATTTTTGTGATAGGACCTCGCCATGGACAAACAAACATACTTGTTTACATAACAATCTGCTCCGTAATTGGAGCATTTTCTGTCTCTTGTGTTAAAGGCCTCGGAATTGCTATTAAAGAACTTTTTGCAGGGAAGCCTGTGCTGAGGCACCCACTGTCCTGGATTCTGCTGCTAAGCCTTATACTCTGTGTAAGTACACAGATCAATTATTTAAACAAGGCCCTGGATATATTTAATACATCCATAGTGACTCCAATATATTATGTATTCTTCACTACATCTGTTTTAACTTGTTCAGCTATTCTTTTTAAAGAGTGGCAAAACATGCCTGTTGATGACATCATTGGCACTTTGAGTGGCTTCCTTACAATCATTGTGGGGATCTTTTTATTGCATGCCTTTAAAGATGTCAATTTTAGTCTAGCAAGTCTGCCTGTGTCTTTTAGAAAAGATGAAAAAGTAGTGAATGGCAATCTGTCCAACTTGTATGAAGTCTTTAATAATGAAGGAAGCTTAGCCTGCGGAAGTGAGCAACAAACTGGTGAAAACATCTCTAGAAGAAATGGAAATCTGATGACTTTTTGAAAATAGATATAATTTTTAAAGACTTAATCTGTAATTGTGTGTGTGTGTGTGTTTTTTTTTGGTTTTTTTTTGCGTTTCTTTTTTGGCTGTAAAATGAGCTTGTCTGAAAATAGAACTTGTCATTTTAAATGCTGTCTAGAGACAATCTTTTTTTAAAATGGTTTCACTAATTTGGACAAGAACAATAATGACTTTACTTTTCATATATATGAAGTATAAGACAATTCACTAAGGTGACCTAAATATGGTTGGTTTGGGTTTCTGTTAACACTGTATAATGGTATGATTTTAAATTTCAAATCTTTCATCAAAAAAAGGAAACAACTTATTGCACTGACAGTTTTAATTATAAAAGTAAAATGCTTTATTTCTTCATTGATGATAAAGATTGAAATGAACACTTGTCATTTACAAAGTGACAATGCATTAACATTTCCTTAGTCTTCTTCCAGTATGTGGAAGAACAAAATATTCCAATATAGTATCCTGTGGATTACACAGTTGTGACTTATGTTGGATGAGTCATGAATTAGTTTATAATTGACATTAATAGATTATGGGAAATGAGAAATATAGTTACTTTAATTTTGAAGTATTTTGAATGAATCTTAAGTTCAGCAAAATGGATAAGAAATAGATTAATTTTTTGGCTCAACTGTAAGGGTGATTTTCTGATATATAGTTTGCCTTGTCAAGTGAATACGGTGTCCCTGTAAAATATTTAGGTATTTATGAATGATTCAGTTACTACTTTGAAAATACTTAATGTACAAATTTGAGGAATTTCTTTAAAATGCAGTTTAACAATTCTTTGCAAAAGTGTTTTCATTCCCTTGTGCCTTGCTGACCTTAAAGCATTATATGAATGTGAGTTATTACCAATAATTTTGCATTTTGTAATATTATTAATGTTGTATTGTAGTACCAGTTATTTTACTCTGGAAGGACTTCTGAAATCCCTTAACCTATTGAAATTTGTGTGGCAGTTTCATTCTCATAGTCAGTTAGAAACTTGAATGTTGTCCAGGATGTAATGAGGATGGGACTTCAGTTTCTAGAGGGTGGAGAAACTTAAAATACATTTGCAAAATTTCCATATAGCAGTTCATATTAGCTCATTTGATATTCATAACAATAGAGTGAGGCCAGTTAGTATACCATACGTGAGGAGAGAGTTACTGGTTAAGTGAGGAAGCCAAGAATGTATCCAGTCTTCTTTTCCCTAAGCCATAAACTGTATTTTTGAAATACTTTTTGAGAAACAAATTGAGAGAAGAAATTACTTTTCCAAAAGCCAAAGGCTGGCAAAACTGATTTAATTACCATCTTTGTCCTAAGATTGTTTGTGTAATTTAGAGACAAATTCTCAGTCTAGTTTCCTGACAACCAAATATATGATCCTGGAATTTAATTCTCTATTTTCTAATGTAAAATATGTAATTATCATCTGTAACAGGTTTTTTGAAACAATAATTTTGCTGGATAATCCTGAAAATAGACAAAAGGGAAAAAATTTGAGTTGAACCTTTTTTTTTCCAAATTGATAACTTTAGAGAATAAGTTTTAGTAAAGTGAATTATTGCTTCTGTCATGTAAATTTTACAAGATTTAGATTTATAATTGTTTAATCAAATGTATCTAGGAATAAATACTGCTATCACTTGAAGAGCCTTCATGAACACTATTCACAAATATCTATGACAATGTTTCTAGGAGTCTTTCGTTTATTTATTTATTTATTTGGGGATCTTTTTTTTTTTTTCCAATTCCAGGTTAAATGGCATAGCAAAAGAAACTACCTGATTTAATATTTATAAATGATACCAGTGTTTAATTTAAAGTTAAAACCCCTCAAATTTACACAGCTATTTAAAAATTACAGCCTCAGAGAACTGAAGAGTTAGAAGAGACCCCAGATACCATCCAGTCTCACCTATATAGGAAAAGAGTCCTCCTTTTACAATGTACCCAATAAGTGGTTATCCAGCTTTGGTTTGAAGACCTGGAGGAAGGGAAGATCATTCACAACAGTACTCAGGCAGTCCATTCCACTTTTGGTTAGCTCCAAGTGTTCAGAATTTTTTCCGGATTATCAAGCCTGAATTTGTCTCTTTGCAGGTTCAAGCCATTGTTCCTAGCTCTGCCCTCTGAGATCAAGCTCAAAGAAATCTTAATTCCTTTTCCACTTGGCAGCCTTTCAGATTTAATCAGATTGAGTTACGTTCTCCTGAGTCTCCTGATTTCTTCCACCACTTCTCATTTGGTTTATCACTTATCTATATCCTTCCTAAATAGGGGTGCCCACAGCCGAAAACAGTAATGCAGAGCAGGTCTCACGAAGGCAGAAGATAAGTGGATTGTCACACTTCCTTATGCTTGCAAATGATGTTTCTCTTAATGGCGTCCGTGATTATGTTAACCTTTTTGACCACTCTAGCTTTCTTGTCTGCCATCTGTATCACACTGTTGATTTGTGTTGAGCTTGTTGTGGTCTAGTAAAATCCCCAGATCTTTCTCAAACTGCTACCTAGCTATACCTCCCTGACTTTGTAAGTGTGAGGTGGATTTTTTTTTTTGTACTCTAGTCTTGTGTGAGGCTTTGTGTCATTTATCTCTCTTAAATTTCAGTTCAGCTAACTGTTCCAGCCTAGCCAGATCACTTTTGGATTTTAATGTGTCGTCCAGAATTCTGGCTGTCCTTCCCAGTTTTGTTACTTGCAAATTTGATGAGGATGCCACCTATGCCTTTATCCAAGCCACTAATAGCCATTATCAATTGATACGGAATTATTAGTGAATGTTCTTTGGGTTATATCCTTTTAGAATCTGCTTACTTGTACTGCCAGCCCGTAACTCCCCATATTTTCTGCAGCAGCATTTATTACATGTTTTTTCTAGGATCTAGGCAAATATATGGCATTCTCCTGATTTAACAATTTACAAATTCCTGTTCTTGATGAAGTGATGATTTTAGAAATTTCTCAAGAATTAGAGTAAAACTTGGTGACCTCTTGTTTTCAGTTTTCTTTTAGAAAGTCAGGACAGCATTTACCTTTCTCCAGTCCCAAGATATTCCTATTTTCCACAGCCTTCTGGATATCAGACAGTGGCTTAGCAGTCATAGCTGTAAGTTTTTTCATAGTACCTGAGCATGTAGTCCTTTTGAGCCAGGTGACATAAACTCATAAAGAACAGCTAGGTGCAGCTTTCTTGCTATCTCCTTCTTTGAGCATTAACTCCCTTTTAGCTTCCCTTCCAGTCATGGAAAGGTCGTGTTCCTTGGCAGAAAAAATAAGCATAATAAAAATTGGATATTTCTGCCTTTTCTGTACTGTCAGTTATTACTTATGTCACACTGGAGAGTTAGTTGACATAGCTCTCCTTTGATCCCTCTCTCTTTCCCAGTATAGCTAACGAGAAGCCCATTTTCTTGTCCTTTTTCTTGCTGGCCTCAGCTTATTCTGAGGTGTAGCATTCCCAGTACACTTCTTAAAGGACCGTGCTGTGCTTTTGTCTTCATTTTGTTAACTGCCTTTGCTTCTGTTCCTTACTTGTCCCGCCTTCCCCCAAATATATGTTGGTATTGAGTGCTTGTTCTTCTCCAATTCCTTCAGCAAACTCTTCCTCAGAACAATGTCCTATCTTCAGGACTTCATTATTTAGAACCTCTCATTCCCACCCCCCCACCCCCCCACCCCCCGCCCCATTAACTTTTCATTAGCATTTCAGGCCATAGGGTCCTAACTAGCCACCCTTCCCATTAAATCTTTGAAATCTCTTTTCCTTAAATGTAGGCCAGCTGTCAGACCACGTCTCACTTTATTACAGACTTTAATTGGTGAAAATGATGAGGATCTTCTTGCAGTGGTGTCAAACTCAGATAAAAACAGGCTTCACTAATCTATATGTAAAAATTGCTGTGGGCTGCACATTAACTTAGTTTTAAAATGTAATATTATGTGTTGTTATGTTTGTATTTTATTGAATATTTCTCAATTACATCTTAATTTGGTTCAGGCCACAGTTGTGAGTGTTGTGGCCATATGTTTTGACACCCCTGTTCTAGATGAGTGATCACTCCCAGGTAGTGTTCCTCCCTCTTTATGAGAATCAGATCCAGAATCATTTTCATCCTGAGGAGAAATTATCATTAAGTAAGCTAAGGAATTAATAGTTCTTTTCAAATGCAGAGGGAGCTCCACTTAATGTTTAGATAACACTGGATAATCATCTGTAGTTTTATGCTGCCTTAATCACTTGTCATCTGTTTCCAGTAGTCCTAATCTGTTTAATAGTCTAGTGCGGAGGGGTGGGGAACCTGCAGCCTAGAGGCCACAGGATGGCCTTGTAGGTCCTTGGGGTGAAACCTTTTGACTGAATCCAAATTTTTCAAAACAAATACTTTTAAGGGGATTTGTTCTGTGAAGTTTGGATTCAGTCCAAGGGCCACATGTGGCCTTGAGGCAGCAGATTCCCCCAGTATTTCGATAACAAAAATTGCTTTTCTTTGTGCCATCATTGACTTTAATCCCAATATTCTTCAGCATGTTTTCCATCCTTGGTTCCTAGACTTCTTCACCTGAGAGTATAGCCATAGAATGGCTTTACTGTTTCTTTTGAAAAAGTCAGCCTGCATCTATTCCAGGAATGGTGTAATTCTGCCAAGTTTCAAAGATACCTGTGAGATCAAATGATTTCTTTCTTTTAAACTTTACTCCATCTTTACACATAACAAACGGAAAACTTCAGAAATTGTATGGTAATCACACCTGTCATACTACAAACCAATCCTTTGTGATGACCACATCAGCAGGTAGCTTAAGTAAAAAGCAGGCCTGTATGTTTCAGTTATAATAGTGTACCAAAAGGATAAAGCCAGGATATGCTATTTCCATTAACATGAAGGAAGACAACATGGCGGACTTGACATTCTCTCAATTTGTAAGATGATAAAAATAAATGAATTGGTTCTTTCAAGTACCTTTTTTTTTTTTTCCAATTTCCAAAGGCAGGAGACTATAGAGAATTATGCTGCTGGCATTCTGTATTTTAATGTTTTACGTTCAAATTTGTTGTGAAGTAAGCTGTGAACTTGCCTCATGAGAAAAACAGCTCTGCATCCCTAAAATCGACACCTTTCCTCATTTAACATTAATAGGTCTAATAGTAAAAGTATGAGTCCTAGGCTCATTCTGTGACCTCCAGGTCAGCTGGGCCTCAAAAAAAGGTAAAATGCACCTAGGGTTTTGTTAAACTGGAAGTTTTAGTAAATGAACTGTGAAACAAAATCATGATTCACTAGTTTTATTTCCAGAACTTTAAATCATACCTCTCACATACTACATTTTACAGTTCTACTGGGGAGGGAGAAGTAACACCCGTAGCAAGAAAAAAGCAACAACTAAAGAAAGCATTCATGAAACACCACCAGAAAACCTTAATAATGCTAGAAAATAATTGAGCTTGTAGCTTTATTCTAATACATAAACAATTTTATTACAATTAGCTGGTATATAAAGTGTTTTTCACTCAAGTCCACAATTCTTTCCACCTTCCTTGAACACTGACAACTGATAAATAAATTAAACTCAACAGCCTTCTATGTATTAGCTGCTGGGACTATCAGCTGAAGGACTTCCCAAGATTATGGCAATAACAATAAGCAGCCATTACCTTTCTCAGACTTCTTAATTTCCAAAAGCATATAAAATTTTAGTCTAGAAAAATAAGTATAGATTGTATAAAATTAAGCTTTTAGATTGAAATCAAAAGAGCACCACCTTTTTAACAAGCACAAAAAAAAAAATACTGAAAAATATTTCCTAAACTCTAGCTATTTTAAGGAGGGAAAAGAAAGCATGCTACTGTGATTTACTGAAACCACACTAAAGATTTGAGAAGCTGCACACCCCTCAGGTGCTTGCCAGAGATTGATGGATGGGGGGTTGGAAGCAGCGCACATGTTCCACCGGAGTGCTTTCTCCATCGCCAGATTTCAAGTACTTGTCCAAGATAGTAATTATTTCATCATTTAAAATCTGGAACTTCCGGATTCTCTCAACCATCTTCTTCAAAGGCTGAAAAAAGTTCACATTGGCAAAGTAGTACAATTTAAAAGTCAAATTTGAACATTTAAGCCAGACCTGAACAACTTGGCAGTAGGTAGGGGCCAAAATTAAAATAGGTTAAACTAGAGACAGACAATGGTTGGTTGCTAAGAGTCACTTAACAAACAGGAGAGTGTAGTGGCAACCCTATGTTTTTCCACTGGCCACCCGAAATCCTTTGCCTAGTGGCAAAAGGCCTGTGAGCCGTATGTTGTGTGGGCCTGAGTTAAGCCTTTCATAGTCTCCTGTATATTACATAAATGGCTCAAAGTCCAATGAAAACTCTTTGAATATACTTATATAGTCTTATACATTGCTTTGGTGCTGGGAGAGACTTAGAATCAAACAATAGTAGGTTCTGAGTGGAGTGGAAGTAGGGGATTTACTGTCTCCCTGTTGTGTCTCCCTCCCTCTTTTCCACCCATATCTTTTCATTTAACAGCATCTCCCTTCTGGTAAAAATGCAGTACAAAAAAAACAAATCCTGTTTTGCCCTAAAAAGTTTACATCTATGTGGATGTTAGGAATCCTACTTTCCCCAAAACTGTACTTTCTGTGT